TATGGATTTGTGTTTACTGTTTTGAGAATACGAGGCATAGTTTCAAGAAATGTGTTTAAGCAATCGAGAAAAACTCTAATCAAGTCTGAGAAAACAAGACTTATCTTTTGTTATTTTGCTTCAAGTAAATGTATCTTGATTTATTAAGAATCTTTAGACATTTGTGCTCTGAAACGAGACAAATGAGGAAGAGAGAATACTTTTAAAATTATGATGAAGAACATACTTTTTTTTGCTTTGTGATCAAAAGTAAAGTAATTTTCATATTCTAGTGGTTGGGAGCAGAGATATTGAAGCCTTAACGTTTTTTTAATTCATGAATTAATTTAAAGTAACGACGAGCACTTTAAAGTAGTATTTTCTAGCTTTGTTTCTGATACAGCTCATTGTCTGCTGCAGAACATATTGATGTATTGTGTTCTCTGTATGATGCAGGTTATGTGTTTAAGAGTTGCACAAATGAGCGTCTGAACCCAGAGATCGGTACTGATAGGAGTTTTGTCTGTGGGTTTGCAGCCGGCATGGCTGATGTTGTAATCTCTGTGAAAGAGTCTGCCTCCAGCGATGCAGGATCAAACGCTGATGAATCTCATTATGTGCTGATTCTCTCAGAGTCGCTGAAGCTGCTGCTGGATCAGACGGAAGACAAAGCCTCCAGGATGAACAACTGCTGGACAAAACCAACAAAGATCTGGCAGACGCAAAACAAAAAGTGAGTCTCTGCCGGGATACCCTGAATATTCACTACCAGTTAAGTTTAATGTATTTTTTTTAAAGAAGTCTCTTCTGCTCACCAAGCCTGTATTTATTTAATCCAAAGTACAGCAAAAACAGTACAATTGTGAAATATTTTACTATTTAAAATAACTGTTTTCTCTGTGAATATCTGTTAAACTGTAATGTATTTCTGTGATGCGCAGCTGTATTTTCAGCATCATTACTCCAGTCTTCAGTGTCACATGATCTTCAGAAATCATTCTAATATGCTGATTTACTGCTCAAGAAACATTTCTGATTATTACCAATATCTAAAACAGTTTAGTAAATATTTTCAGCATTCTTTGATGAATAGAAAGATCTAAAAATCAGCATTTATCTGAGATAGAAAGCTTTTGTAACATCATACGCTCTACCATTCAAAAGCTTGGAGTCAGTATGTGTGTGTGTATGTGTGTGTGTGTGTGTGTGTGTATATATATATATATATATTAGGGTTGTGAATCTTTGGGTAGACAGCGATTCGATTCATAGGTTTTCGATTTGATTCGAGAACGATTTTTGCTAATTCAGAACGATTCGATTCACAATTAAATTAGATTAACAATTTGATTCTGCATTCTTTAAGTGCATTCACAGGATTATTTAAATGCTTCCCCTAAATTCTTTAAATGTCGGGGCAAATTACACAGCAGCCTTTATGGTTACAGAACCACAGGTTAGAGAAAAAACACTTTTGTTCATTGTTAGATGCTAGTTTAATGATGCTCTGGCATGTAGAAATGTATGTAAACCAAGATTTAAAAAAAGAGCATTAAGTATTATGTATAGGCTAACATTGACACACCAGGGGCATAGCCATCATTTCAGAAGTGACAGAAATGTAAAATACAATTTTATGAATGTATGTATTTATTATTATTTTATTTTGTTTCTTTTATTTTTTTTTACAAGGAATTATTTTTTTATCTTTTACTTTGAATTTGCTATAAGAAATCAAATACACTGCTGGACAATAATCAATCATTTGTAATCTATACTTTTTTCCTGATGGCAATTTTATGATTGTTTTATATACTACAAACAATTATTTAAATTTTCTGCACAGCATTAGGTAGAAAATATACTTTATAGTTTCTGTACTGTAATAAATATGTCAATTAGCACGGCATCATTCATAAATTTTATTTATTGTGTTTATTATCTTAACGTTTCATCAGTTCATTCTGCTTTTTGTGGCAGATATAGCCTGGCATGTCTTAAAGGGATAGTTCACCCAAAAATGAAAAGTTGATGTTTATCTGCTTACCCCCAGGGCATCCAAGATGTAGGTGACTTTGTTTCTTCAGTAGAACACAAGCGAAGAATTTTAACTCAAACAGTTGCAGTCTGTCAGTCATATAATGTAAGTGGATGGGAATCACGGCTTTGAGAGTAAAAAAACCATACACAAACAAAACCAAATTAAACCCTGCGGCTCGTGACGATACATTGATGTGTAAAGACACGAAACGATTGGTCTGTGCAAGAAACTGAACACCACCTATCTCTCAGATGTACCATTGACACTCTATCTACAATCTCAATTAGGAGTGTCAATGGTCCACTTGAGAGATAGGTGGCGGTAATGCACTTATAAGTCTGAGGTAAAAAAAACTATATAAATACTGTTCAGTTTCATGCACAGACCAATCGTTTCGTGTCTTTACACATCAATGTATCGTCACGAGCCGCAGGGTTTAATTTGGTTTTGTTTGTGTATGGTTTTTTTACTCTCAAAGCCGTGATTCCCATCCACTTACATTATATGACTGACAGACTGCAACTGTTTGAGTTAAAATTCTTCGCTTGTGTTCTACTGAAGAAACAAAGTCACCTACATCTTGGATGCCCTGGGGGTAAGCAGATAAACATCACATTCTCATTTTTTGGTGAACTATCCCTTTAAGTTCTATGAGCGCGAGATCACTTCTCTTTCAGTGCGAAAACTTCTTTATCTCATTTTCATAAATGCTATAGTATTTTACTTTTCCTCTCCATCGGCGAATGATGATTCTGAGAGAAACGCGCTGATGTCTGTTAGCTAAAGCAATGAACGCTAGTTTCATGCATCTAATTATCAGATAAACCTCACGCTCTTATTTCAAGGTTGTTGTTAATGCTGTGGTTATTTTAACAGTTTTCTTCATTCATTCGGTTCAACGACATTGTTAAAACACATTTATCATTCAATGGAACTGTGCGTATGCTTTAGACACTTACATTTCTGCTCCGTCCATGCCATAAATGCACAGCCTTCGACTGCTCTGGTAATGTCGTCGTCGGTATGACCGAGAGCCATTGAAAAACTACAGAAAAGCAAAACTACTTCACTTTAGCATTACTAGCCACAAGTACTAAGGAGAGATCTATATATATATATATATATATATACAAAAAATTTTTTTGAGGGGGGGGTTATATAAATGTATACTTTTACTTAAGGATGCTTTAAATTGATCAAAAGTGATGATAAATACATTTATAATGTTATTCTATTTCAGATAAATATTGTTCTTCTGAACTTTCTATTCATCAAAGAAACCTGAAAAAAGTATTCTGCTGTTTTCAACATCATTATGTTTTTTTGAGCAGCAAATCAGAATATTAGAATGATTTCTGAAGGATATATATATATATATATATATATACAAAAAATTTTTTTGAGGGGGGGGTTATATAAATGTATACTTTTACTTAAGGATGCTTTAAATTGATCAAAAGTGATGATAAATACATTTATAATGTTATTCTATTTCAGATAAATATTGTTCTTCTGAACTTTCTATTCATCAAAGAAACCTGAAAAAAGTATTCTGCTGTTTTCAACATCATTATGTTTTTTTGAGCAGCAAATCAGAATATTAGAATGATTTCTGAAGGATCATGTGACACTGAAGACTAATTATGTAAATTAATTATGCTAAAGTAATTATGCTAAAAATTCATCTTTGATCACAGAAATAAAGTACATTTTAAAATATATTCAAATATAAACCAGTTATTTTAAATAGTAAAAATATTGTAATTGCAATTGTACGGTTTTTGCTGTACTTTGTATCAAATAAATGCAGGCTTGGTGAGCAGAAGAGACTTCTTTAAAAAACATAAATCTTTCTGTTCAAAAACATTAGTCAGGTGTCACCTTGCTCTTGTTTAAGAAGGTCAAGGGAATGCTGTGAGCTGGTGGTGTGTTCATACAGTGATGCAGTGCATGTTGTCCTCAGGAAGCAGCGCAGGTGATCTCACACAATCTGCTCTGAGAGGAGATCTGGAGGCCCAGCAGCAGCAGCTGGAGGAGCTGAAGGTAGGATGTGTGGTGAAGATGTTCTGGGTGTCTGTATCTGTTGTGGCTCACTGTGTGTGTTGTGTGTGTGTGTGTCTCAGATCCAGTTCAGCGAGCTGACAGCCGAGCGTTACCGGCTGCAGGATCAGCTGAAGTTGATGAGTGAGCAGTAGCAGCGGACCTCCAGCTCTTATCAGCTCAGTCTGAATAATCGTGTCCTTCTGTTCATTCCAACAGACAGATTGAAGCTCTGACACTGACGTGCTTTCCACAGGACACTATAGATTTTCCATTTCCGTCACCATCTTCTAGTCTGCAGTCTTGTTAACCAAACACAATTATAGCTGCACCCAGCGGCTCCTGATAAATTGTGCACAACAGAAGTGAGAGGAAATGCTTCTGAGTTTCCAGCTCAGGGCAAACACATCACACAATTTTATTCATTAGAGCAGCTCATACGGCTTCTGTGGCTCATGTGTTGTTGTTATTTTTTCAAATTGTCTCTCTTGTGTTGGTTTTGATTGCAGGCTGATCTTGCAACGACACTGTCTGAGTTTGAGAGTTATAAGGTGCGAGTCCACAATGTGCTCAAGCAGCAGAAACACAAGAGCTCAACCCAGAGCGACGGTGACGCTTTCAGGCAGGAGAAATTTTTGCTTAGGGAATATAGTATATATAAATATAGTCTTAAGCCTTATTCAGACGGGACTAGTTTTTGAAACTACGTTTGAATTTTGATTCTTTATCACCTGACGTAACCGTTTTTATTTCAGTAATTAATGTGTGTTTTATCAGAATTCAGTAGAAGGAAAGGTTACACTTTATTTTAAGTTGTCCTTGTTACAGTGTAATTATACCTTTTTAAGTACTGAGTAATATTAATTAACTGCATGTACTTCCTCTATGGTTGGGGTTAGAATTAGGGTTTGGTTTAGTGTTACTTGCATGTAATTATGCATAATGTATTGTTACTATAATATTAAGTACATGTAACGTGTAACAAGGACACCTTAAAATAAAGTGTTACCAAAGGAAATTTCCAGCCATCAGAGGTTTCATTAGGTCTCAAGGAAATATTAAGATGGATAACACTGACATAATAATGAACTAATTAACTACTGCCATGTTTCCAGACTTAGTTAAACACATACAAAGAGAAAAGTAGAGGACCTAACACTGAGCCCTGTTGCACACCATACTTAAATCGACTGAAATTACATTTCTTAGTTTAAATACAGCGAGAATGGATGGATAAGTGCATAATTAATGCAGTCTCTGTACTATGATGGGTCCTCAATCCTGTTTATCACAAATACCATAGTTCAGTGAGTATGAACTACAACGAAGACAGCATATCAATTTACGATGGTGATTAAACTGATTGCAACCAACCATGCCTTCAACGATTTAATCTTTATTTGTAATGAACAATCTTAACTGCAAACCAAAGGGTATGTGTTTGTTTTGCGAACATGAAGAACACACAAGCTCTAGTGCGCACTCTGTGTAAATAAATAAAGATATAACACAAAGGCAGATTTCTACAGCAGCGCTCTTCATTCAACTCATTTACAAAACGCTGATTTTGTATTCCTCAATAGTCTTCTGTAACCTGCAGTAGTAGTCTGTAACAACTCTCCCACTTTAAATCTCCATTTTAAGTCAAATAAATGTGTGTAGAAAAAGGCAGTTTCTTGTTAGTAAATGTTAAATTCAAATACACGTATTTTGCCAAATATTACATAACGTTAATGTTTCCCTGTGAATGTTGTAATTACTGTGTTTTGTCATGTTTTCTCCCATGATTCCACCCATCAAATCTAGCCCTTCAGCAGAGCTGATATCAAACACGCCCCTTTAACTCAAACCGCTCCTGATAAGAGTGAAATCTGTGAAAGTGTGAGGTTGTAGCTCGCTCTGGATGAGAGTGCAAGCGTCTGTGCTGGCGTGTGTCGTTGATGATGTGTTTATCTGTCATAAACGTTATCAACGCTGTGAAAAACAGTAGCATTTAACACTAGTAAACACTGTAGAACAAGTAGGTTACAGAATGAAACGAAATATACAAAAACTAGCCATGAAGAAGTCTATGCCATGTCATTCAGTATAGTTAAATTTTCACAAATCATGCTATAAACTTTCATAAGATTACTAGACAAAGTTATTGTAGTTATGTATTGTTGCAATAAACAACTGATAAAATTATCCACCCTTAAATATAGTAAAGTATTAAATTTTGATGCAATAAATGGGGTATGATTTAAAAATAATCATTCCTCCAAAAGAGAGAAAACATCTTTCACAAACATCTACATGTCTGTCTCCTTTAAAGTGTTTATAGTGTATACAATGAGTTGTATTTGTAGGGGTTATAACACAATTCTTTAACACCAACTTTAACAACCACTCACAGTTCTGGCCCGGAACAACCTTTTCTACAGTGGAAATGCCTGTCTCTTTAACACCGAACGCACGCAGATCTAAAAAATACTGTACATGTGTGTTTCCTTTCTCATCTGTTAACGTTCACGTAAGACAAAAACGGCTGTGTTTATGATGATATACTGATGTAGTTTTCTGCATATTGGTCGACAAATATGAAAAGTCAGTTTCGGCCCGGAACAACCTTTTCTACAGTGGAAATGCACGGAACGGTTCGAGAACGGAGACAGATTGAGATCGTTGTTCTCTGTTCCCTGTGATCGCGCTCGCGCTTCAGATGTGTGCGCTGCATGCAAACAAGGTGCAAGTTCTTTCCGTTCCTGCACTTAAATAGTTTTAAATCACATTAAAATGCACACGCAGGAATCGTTAAGCAGAATCGAAATGCACGCGTCTTATCCATAGACTGTAAAAAAAAAACATGGACGTAGTGTCCGTGACGTCACTCGTAGGTTTCAGAAGAGCATTTCTGAAGCCTAAAGTGGGCGGAGCCGACCGCCGCCATCTTGGATAATCGAAAATGGGCAAAAAGGCGAGACATGGGTGAAGCTGAGGTGCCTGGCTGCTGAAACCACGCCTGTCTATCCGCTTGTTAAGTCTGACGTCACGTGTCACAGCTTCCGTGTCCAAACGCTCTATCAGATACCACGAGAAAAACAACAAAAGGTGCTAATATACACTCACAATGTGATATAATACTACCAAAAAAAAAAGTATAATCCTAACCTTTAACTCCATACCGAAATCCCAGATAGCCAGACAATGAAAATATAAATATAAATAAATATACAAATGATTTGTGTTTGGGACGCCGTGAGCATGGAGACTGTAGTGTACACCGTAAGTTTGAAAACGTTAGCGTAAATGTTTAATATGTATAAACAGTGCTCATAAACGGCTGCTGAGGTAGTATTCTCAAGTGAAGGGAGTGCTTCACTTGAGCGGAAACAGCGCTTCTTACATCACTACTAAACAAGCGGATAGTGACAACAGTGCTGCCATGCAAAGACAAAACACCATAACTTCGTTTTTGGTTGAAATGAGTTATTGATCATTTTGGGACATATATGACCTCCTTTATCATGCGACATATATGACCTTGGTTGCCCAGGAGAAACCAAGGCAGAACACAGTATCATCAGTTACCACTCTTTGACTTTGTTTTAGACCACTCAAATTAAGTTACGGTGCTCTGCATTTGTTTAGCCGTTCGTCAATATTACTGCGCCAGCCTGGAGTTATACAGTATTCTGCCTTTGTTTTACTGTACATTAAAGTCTGCTGCGTTTAAATTACGGTGTAACTTGTGTACTTTCATATATGATCGGCATTTCTTTAGACAAACAAATTAGATAGATTGCGATCTAACAAACTGCTCCATATAACAAGGCACTGTAAACAAGAAACGACTTGGCAACAATAATTCATGGTAAATAATCTTTAAAGTTTTTTTTATTATAATTTTTTTTATAATGCAGATGCGAGCTGTCAGTCTAGGGCTGCCCACTTCTATGCCCACTTCTATGGATAAGACGCGTGCATTTCGATTCTGCTTAACAATTCCTGCGTTCGCATTTTAATGTGATTTAAAACTATTTAAGTGCAGCAACGGAAACTTTTTGCACGTATGAGTCGTCGAATGCCATGACAGCGTATCACATAAAATCAGTAACTATTTGCAATTAAATCCGTTTCCTACCTTTTCTTGTAACTCGATAAAAAAAACATGGCAATGAACGTCATCGGAGATGTTTAATTCACAATCATTCTGAGCATTATTCCTGCTGGCGTTCACATCAATCCACAAGTCGTTCTTATAGGGCAGTGGTTCCCAATCCTGGTCCTGGAGAACCCCCAACACTGTCTTTGGTGTCTTTCTTTTCTGACACTCACATTTGAGGTCTTGGAGTCTTCACTAATGAGCTGATGAGTTGAATCAGGTGTGTTTGAATAGGGAGACATCTAAAATGTGCAGTGTTGGGGGTTCTCCAGGACCAGGATTGGGAACCACTGTTATAGGGTAAGCTATTTTCATTCAGTTCGATGTAAAAACAATAGGCTAAGTATGTCTTGCATCCTTCAATGTTAGCGAACATTGCAAATAAATTGGTTGCAAAATGGTATCCACTCACGTTTAACTTTTTGTCTGGTTGTTACAGTCAGAAAAAAAATTCAATTACATTACTATATGTTATAGCCTAGCCAATGATCACTAGATTTTATATAGATGTTACTATAATTATTCTGTAAATGGTGATCAGCACCCAAATATTGTATATAATGTGTAAGTTACTGCCTTTTGCCTTGGCGTGACATCTCACTTTTTGCAGACAGTGCAAAGGCAGAGTACCTACAATAACTTCAAAAAAGTGGTAAAAATCAATTGCCAGATTTCCAGTGTCCTAACCATAATTAATTTTTCTGGACAAATACAAATCTTTAAAGCCATTTTTCTAAGTTTCACAGTCTAGCGAGTTTCACACTCTGGAGCAGAGCGGCAGTCCACCTGTCACTCCAGTGGCCATGCCCTTAATTATGCAGAACTTAAAGGCTTAATATCATTTAAACGGAATGAAACCCCCCTCACAGTTGTCATGAAGGGCAAAATTAGCTATATAGACCAAAACAACTTTTTGTACCAGGCTGTAAACATATATTTTTTCTGCTGTAAAATTGGGCATTTTAACATGGCAGGTCTATGGGACTGACTCCCTTTTGGAGCCAGCCTCTAGCGGTCAGTCGATGAATTGCAGTTTTAGTCACTTCCATGTTGGTTTCAAGCGAGAGACCGAGAGGTTGCCGCCTGGTCTTAGCGAATACCCGGTTCTTGGAAATTTGGAACCGCACGCAGTCGTACACATTCTTCAAACACTGCCAAGCTGCAGGATGGCCAGACAGAGAAATTACAAAATTAGATATTATATGATATGATATGATATGATATGATATATATATTTATTGAGCAAATAATAACACTGGTTTTATTAGTTACACACTTTCCATCTACATGACTATGTAAGACATGACTACTGGTATTAATCAACATGCTGGACTGATATTTTTCTGATATTACATAGATTTTTTTTATTTTTATATTGCTTAGGCTGAAATATATTTAAATGAAGTTTATCTTTTCAAAATTTCTTTTCAAAACCCTAACTCTAACTCTTCATAGAAATATTGAATTTGTGGCATTCTTCGTTGTATTTCTAATAAGCCTCTCTAGTTGAAACATCAGCATTGACATTAACAAATGCCAAATTAACTGTCTGACAAGCAGCGTTTTACCACTGTTTTACTCAACACCTGCTCCTCTGATGTTCCTCTTCCACAGGCTCCATGTCATTCTCACAGACATACACTTTTTACAGATCTCGCATGAGCTTTGAGTTTAAGAGAAGGTGTATGTGTCTCCACAAGTCAACATCAGTTATAGACAGTGGTATATACTGGTCTACACACCTTTCTGTGCATGTCTGTCTGACAAAACATTTCATGCAATTCCTTCACTTTGCCTTAAAATAATTGAAAACGTTTATACGAGAATCTCCACTCTTGTTTTGATTTTGGGTTACTTTATTCATTACTTTTAATTGATTAAAATTTCACTCAGGATCCATATTTTCACTAAGTGATGTTTTATTAACAAATTTTGGGAGGAGTACACGCAGATAATCAACACTGCCAATTCACTATCAGTAATTACATCATCTATCCAACCACCACGAGAGAGAACCACTATAAATAATCATAGCAGCCTTAACTTCATTCTCTCTAGTCTTTCAGCATTGGCACATCCAATCACAATCATATGTCAGAGATGACAACTCCTTCTCCAGTCGCCGTCCAGAGCACCAGCACTCTGCAGGACACCACAACCGAGGCCACGGCTGCACAACGGGGCCGCCGGCCTTCCAACTCTAGCGCAAGGCTGCCTCCGTTAATGGTGCAGGCCCGGACGCCCGCCATTTCCCCTCTCTTCCCCCCTTTTTGTTCAGCATTCGCTCCCGGTGCCGACCCAAGCGTGAGGATGCCTCCGCAAGTGGTTCCGGGGGCTACTTTTCCTCCTCCCCTCTCGCATGCTTGCTCTTCCTTTTCTCTATCTTCTGCCATGCCCCTACCCATCCCTCCGAACGCTCTCACCTTGGAACCACCCCCCGTAGCCAGCAGCATCAGGACACAAATTTTGTCAGGTGCGGATGTAAACGTTTTTCCCTTTTGTTGCCAATTTCACCTTCGTCTGCAGATCGCCATGTGGCAAATTCTCTGTCACCCTAAATAACACAGCACACAATGCATCACGTATCTTATAATTTGCCGAATTCACAATCGATTTCACCCGTTACACAGAACTCATTTGCGTAGTTTTTCCACACAGGAGACGCAAGCTCAGCGACTATCTCACGTGATCATACGGAGGCTCTCACTTTTACACTTACCACAAATTAGTTTCTGCTAAATGCACCATCCGAGTGGCCCAATGGAACCAGTATCCTTACTGGGGGGCTTTGGACACTGACCTACATAATAGAGTATTTTTAGTCTGCCGTAACATCTCGTGCGTGGTCTGCCAATCCATGGCCCATTCCACCATAGTTTGCCCTTTCATCAACCCGTCCATCCCTCCTTGCCCCGAACCATCCCAGCCCAAAACCACCAACTACGTCCCGTGCCACCCAAACACCCCAACCAACCCATTACCCCCCACTTCCACCTATCGCCACCCCTCCTCTTCCTCCAACAGCCAGGTCTGTGCCAGCTTTAATGCTGGCAGATGCACAAGGCAACGCTGCCGGTTTATGCACATGTGCAGTTTTTGTGGCGGCACCCACGCCTGCTTGATATGCCCCGTGCAAAAAGCTGCAAATAAAAATTCTAAACAATACTTATCGACTCCTGTAAATGTTTCTCGATTGTCTTCCAAATTGTTTCATCACCCTGACTCTCATTTTACTGATTATGTACTGTCTGGTCTCTCACACGGCTTTAACCCAGGTGTCAAAAATCTCCCTTCCCAAAGCCTTATCTGCCCCAATCTCCAGTCCTCTCTCGCCGAACCCGAAACAGTCGATCTTCTAATTAAAAAAGAAACCAACGCAAACCTTTATGATCGGCCCCTTTTCCGTTTCTCACTTAAATTTTTTCTGTGTTAGCCACATCGGCGTAGCTACCAGGAAATTCTCAGGTAAAAAACACCTCATAATCGATCCCTCATCCCTGCATAATTCCCTGTTCCCAAGTGTTTACAGCCTCATTCCGCTCGAAGAATTTTCTCTCCACTATCATGACATTGACCAAGCCATTACCCTGATCAAAGATACGGGTCACGGCGCTTGGCTGGCCAAAGTCGACATCACCTCTGCTTTTAAAGTGATGCCCTCGTTCACACAGATTTTTGGCATTTATTTGGCATCCGCTGGCATAATACATTTTACTTTTCCGTCCGCATCACTTTCGGCTGCAGAAGCAGCCCTAAAATTTTCAACATGTTGTCAGAGGCAATCTGCTGGATCCTCTCCAACAATTACACAATACCTTACCTGATCCATCTCTTAGATGATTTCTTAATCATCTCGCCTCCCGACTCCATCCCAGCCACACATCTTTCGACAACCCAAAAGGTTTTTGCAGAGCTTGGGATTCCTCTCGCCCAAGCACCTCCATCGAATTTTTAGGTATCAACTTAGATTCACAAAAATTCCAGGCTTCTCTGCCCAAAGAAAAAATTGGGTGAACAGGATGATTCTGGTTGCTTCCACCCTCTTAGACAACCCAAGCTGTTCCAAACGTGAGCTGCTATCCATTTAAATTTCTCAAAGCGCATTAATCCACAGGGCCACCCTTTTATCTCACTTCTCCTCTCTCTTGCGTCCTCCGCCCATGCACTAGAGGATTGAATATCACTAACTGACTCGTGCTGCAACGAGCTCAGCTTATGGATATCCTTTCTTAAACAATAGAACGGCCTATCTTTCTTTTACAACATCTTTATTTCTTCTCCCATCGATATCCAATTATTTACTGACGCCGCCCCCTCCGTCGGTTTCGGAGGATTTTACAAAGGCTGCTGGTTTGCATCTACGTCCCCCCCCCAGCTGTTAGATTTACCACAGCCACTAACGTCCTCAGCTCTATTCGAGCTATATCCTTTAGTCATCATAGCCCTTCTGTGGGGTAAAGAGTGGTCTGCCACCAGCATCATAATTCACTGCGTCAACGAGGCTACCGTGCACTGCATTAACAAAAAAAAGCCGTTCCCATTCAAATGCCTTTGTTAAGATGCCTGATTTGGATCTCGACTTGCAACCAATTCATTATAACTGCAAAGCACATTCCCGGGTCCAAAAACCAAATAGCTGACTCTTTAGATAGATGGCGCCATCTAAGATACTAAGATGGCGCCGCAGACGGCAGCCGCAGTGTTTGGCTCTCCAGTGCTCGCCCAAGCACCTCCATCGAATTTTTAGGTATCAACTTAGATTCACAAAAATTCCAGGCTTCTCTGCCCAAAGAAAAAATTGGGTGAACAGGATGATTCTGGTTGCTTCCACCCTCTTAGACAACCCAAGCTGTTCCAAACGTGAGCTGCTATCCATTTAAATTTCTCAAAGCGCATTAATCCACAGGGCCACCCTTTTATCTCACTTCTCCTCTCTCTTGCGTCCTCCGCCCATGCACTAGAGGATCGAATATCACTAACTGACTCGTGCTGCAACGAGCTCAGCTTATGGATATCCTTTCTTAAACAATAGAACGGCCTATCTTTCTTTTACAACATCTTTATTTCTTCTCCCATCGATATCCAATTATTTACTGACGCCGCCCCCTCCGTCGGTTTCGGAGGATTTTACAAAGGCTGCTGGTTTGCATCTACGTCCCCCCCCCAGCTGTTAGATTTACCACAGCCACTAACGTCCTCAGCTCTATTCGAGCTATATCCTTTAGTCATCATAGCCCTTCTGTGGGGTAAAGAGTGGTCTGCCACCAGCATCATAATTCACTGCGTCAACGAGGCTACCGTGCACTGCATTAACAAAAAAAAGCCGTTCCCATTCAAATGCCTTTGTTAAGATGCCTGATTTGGATCTCGACTTGCAACCAATTCATTATAACTGCAAAGCACATTCCCGGGTCCAAAAACCAAATAGCTGACTCTTTCGTTTTGCCTTCCAGAAGTTTAGACTGTTGGCACCAGAGGCAGAACCACTCCCAACCCCAGTACCTCCTTATTCAGAGCTGATATTCCAGTAAACCATCCACTGAAACCTCTCCTCAAAGCCTCCCTCAATTCTATCCTGCAAGCCGTCTCCCCCAGGACCGGACCCTCCACTCTTATCTAACAGCATGGAAATGCTTTAAAGCATTTCACTCTGCATACAACCTGCTGTTCCCCGATTTTTTCTTACTCGCCATCACTTCGTTCATCTCTCACCTCAACATCAACAAAAACCTCCAGATCAGCTCCATTAAAGGATATCTAAGTGGAATCCAATTTTTCCACAAACTCATATACGGTTCACCCTCACCTCAAATAGTCAATTCAGACCTCCCTACTCATCAAAGGCATCCAAAGAGCTCAACCCACCCGCCCAGACACCAGGCAACCTATAACCTTAGAAATACTGACAAAATGTATTTCCACCCTCCGCAGAGGTTACCATTTCATCCACACCCCCCACACGCTTGACGCCATGTTCATCCTGGCTTTTTTCGGTTTTCTCAGATGCTCTGAGCTTGCTATCACATCCAGCTTCAACCCAAACATCCACCCCACTATTTCCAATCTAGCGGTGCTGGATGATGAAACTATCTCTTACTACATAAGGCAAAGTAAGACAGACCAGAAAAAGAAAGGCAACTTCATTTACATTTTCAAACTCCAATCACCCATACTCCCATTTCATGCCTTCCTAGCCTTCCATCAGCTCAGGAAATCACAGACCAAACTCCCATCTGACCCTCTTTTCACAGGCGACTCCAACCGCCCCGTCACTTGTTTCTGGTTTCAAAAGCACCTCACATCTGTTTTTCAGCCATTCATTCCGAATAGGAGCTGCAACCACAGCGGCCCAAAAAGGCTTTTCCCGCAGGAGCCTTATCTGTATTTCCCCACTGCCACAGCAGTGTCTGCTCCCGCAGGAGCCTTATCTGCATTTCCCCACTGCCATAGCAGTGTCTGCAGGAGCTTTTATCTCCCTTTCCCACTGCCACAGCAGTGTCTGCTCCCGCAGGAGCCTTTATCCCTCTTTCCCACTACCGCAGCAGTGTCTACTCCCGGAGGAGCCTTATCTGTATTTCCCCCCTGCCGCAGCAGTGTCTGCTCCCGCAGGAGCCTTTATCCCTCTTTCCCACTACCGCAGCAGTGTCTACTCCCGGAGGAGCCTTATCTGTATTTCCCCCCTGCCGCAGCAGTGTCTGCTCCCGCAGGAGCCTTTATCCCTCTTTCCCACTACCGCAGCAGTGTCTACTCCCGGAGGAGCCTTATCTGTATTTCCCCCCTGCCGCAGCAGTGTCTGCTCCCGCAGGAGCCTTTATCCCTCTTTCCCACTACCGCAGCAGTGTCTACTCCCGGAGGAGCCTTATCTGTATTTCCCCCCTGCCGCAGCAGTGTCTGCTCCCGCAGGAGCCTTTATCCCTCTTTCCCACTACCGCAGCAGTGTCTACTCCCGGAGGAGCCTTATCTGTATTTCCCCCCTGCCGCAGCAGTGTCTGCTCCCGCAGGAGCCTTTATCCCTCTTTCCCACTACCGCAGCAGTGTCTACTCCCGGAGGAGCCTTATCTGTATTTCCCCCCTGCCGCAGCAGTGTCTGCTCCCGCAGGAGCCTTTATCCCTCTTTCCCACTACCGCAGCAGTGTCTACTCCCGGAGGAGCCTTATCTGTATTTCCCCCCTGCCGCAGCAGTGTCTGCTCCCGCAGGAGCCTTTATCCCTCTTTCCCACTACCGCAGCAGTGTCTACTCCCGGAGGAGCCTTATCTGTATTTCCCCCCTGCCGCAGCAGTGTCTGCTCCCGCAGGAGCCTTTATCCCTCTTTCCCACTACCGCAGCAGTGTCTACTCCCGGAGGAGCCTTATCTGTATTTCCCCCCTGCCGCAGCAGTGTCTGCTCCCGCAGGAGCCTTTATCCCTCTTTCCCACTACCGCAGCAGTGTCTACTCCCGGAGGAGCCTTATCTGTATTTCCCCCCTGCCGCAGCAGTGTCTGCTCCCGCAGGAGCCTTTATCCCTCTTTCCCACTACCGCAGCAGTGTCTACTCCCGGAGGAGCCTTATCTGTATTTCCCCCCTGCCGCAGCAGTGTCTGCTCCCGCAGGAGCCTTATCTGTATTTCCCCGCTGCCGCAGCAGTGACTGCTCCCACAGGAGCCTTTATCTCTCTTTTCCACTGCCTCAGCAGTGTCTGCTCCCGCAGAAGCCTTATCTGTATTTCCCCACTGCCACCGCAGTGTCTGCTCCCGCAGGAGCCTTATCTGTATTTCCCCCCTGCCGCAGCAGTGTCTACTCCCGCAGGAGCCTTATCTGTATTTCCCCCCTGCCGCAGCAGTGTCTACTCCCGCAGGAGCCTTATCTGTATTTCCCCCCTGCCGCAGCAGTGTCTACTCCCGCAGGAGCCTTATCTGTATTTCCCCGCTGCCGCAGCAGTGACTGCTCCCACAGGAGCCTTTATCTCTCTTTTCCACTGGCGCAGCAGTGTCTGCTCCCGCAGGAGCCTTATATGTATTTCCACACTGCCACAGCAGTGTCTGCTCCCGCAGGAGTCTTATATGTATTTCCCCACTGCCACAGCAGTGTCTGCTCCCGCAGGAGCCTTTATCTCTCTTTCCCATTGCCGCAGCAGTGTCTGCTCCCGCAGAAGCCTTATCTGTATTTCCCCACTGCTGCAGCAGTACCCTCTGCAAGGTTTGGGGGGATTTCAAGCCCCACTCTGGCTGCTGTCCTGCACTAATCGCATCTTTGGGGGGGGGCGCTCTGTGTTCGGGCAAATACCGAGCTCGGAGCCCTCTCCCCGGACAGCATGCCAAATACGCATACTATTCTTCTTGCTTTATTATCTGCAAGGCGAACTCGTGAAAGTATATTTTTAACATACTTTTTACACCACTGGTTATATTTAGCTTTTCCTGTGCTAAAATAAGAAGAAACGTGATCTTTACAATCCAGTTCCTTGAACGAATGAATGACACTTATTTTGTACACTGTAAAAAAGCAGTTTTGACGTTACAAAGGTTTTCCTGGTATTGCTGCAGTGACTGTGATTGTGTTTTCAGTGTGCTGCGTGCCTGAGATGTCCCGTCTCCTCGCCCTTATTTAGGACTGGATTCCCACCATTACACACACACAGTAAAGCTCATATCTGCAGCTCACAAACCTTTCTCAAATCATGGCTCATTCTCAGTGTATGAGAAATGACAGCAGACTCGGCTGTTGATGGCTGTTGAAGTTTGTCTTGTAGAAGGCTTCTGGTTCTGTTGTTGATGACAGAGAGCTGCAGATATTTTTACAGTGACAAAATTAGATGCCCCAGGCCATACATTTTCAGGACAGGGCAAGAGCAGTATGAATGTGATTCAAACACAATCTGCTCTCTACTACAGACATTTACTGAGAGACAGAGTGCTTGTTAACATTAAAATAATATTAATGTTTCAGATTCAAAGTAATAACATGTCTATATATTGTTACAGAACACAAACTTTGTCAAAGAATTGCAAGCATATATATATATATATATATATATATATATAT